CACCGACACCAGTAGCTCTTTCATCGATACTTCGATGGGTTTGTCAGCCGGAACTGTGCTGATAATCACATTCGGTAAGTGTTGAACGTGACTAGCGTCCCATGCCTGCTCGAGACCATAATCTTTGGGGAATGAGGCACAGAGGGATTCGGCCGCCTTTGAATTACGGGCCACAATGTAGATGGGACTGTAACCAAGCGAATGCAATGCGTAGATGGCCGCCCTGCTAGTACCACCCGAGCCTACCACCATCGCGCTGCCCGCGCCTGTCTTGGCCGGCGGCGGCGTGACTCCTGCCGACCGTAAGGAGTAGACCATGCCCATCCAGTCGGTGTTATCGCCTAGAAGACGTGTTCTCCCCCCATCTTGTGGGACAACGGAGACGATTGTGTTGACTGCGCCGATAACCCTTGCCGAGTCGGATACCTCATCCAGGAGCTCCATGATGTCGAGCTTGAGTGGAATAGTCACTGAAGCTCCACCAAAGTCGGGTGAACGGATTAAGTCACGCACATCTGCTGCAGTATCCGTCTCGAAAAGAGAGTAATCGTGAGGCAATCCTGTCTGGCGAAAGAGCGCGTTGTGAAGAGCTGGTGACCGCGACGCTGAGATAGGTTTCCCGAACAAATAGAAATTCTTTCTACCCAGTTCGCCAACTAAGGCGCGCCCCTCGCGAATCTCGGCAGCCGATAGCTGCCCGGGAGCCGCTTTAAACGGTAGGCTGGGATGTGAAACCGGGGTGAGGAAATCGTTGAGGATCCGAGATAGTCTGCCAAGCGAACCCATGTTAAGCCCGATAATCGGCTTGCCGTGGGCAGCAAACATTCTGTCCTTAAAAGTCGCCAAAGCAAAGTTATCTTCCATCTTTCGTGCAAGACCAACAAGTTTAATCACGTCGCCGTATTGTAGAGCTCGGTTGTACCAGTACTGCCACCCGCCATTCTTCCAGGACAGGATACCATCTGGGTCATGGTGGGAGGCGATGACCCGAGTAGAACCACCGCGTATGCTTAATATGGTATCTAATGTTTCGTCTGACAGCGACATCTCGAGATCCACGTACTCGACACCTGCGCGCATGGCCGTCCGGTAGAGAGGGAGGACGTCTTTCTCCGACTCGTAGCTGAAACGGCCTCCCTGGGCCGTGGTCCGTAGCGTGAATATGATGGGCAGGTTTGCCACAGAACGCAGGAGCGAAATTTGACTTCCGATAGCCTCGGGTGAGAGGTCATCGAGAAGATCGACACGCAACTCGACAGCGTCCGAACCAACGCAAACTCGTGGGATGACATCCAGCGCCGAGGACACGCTGGGGAGAGTCAAAGACACGAAAAATGACGGCCGTTTCTTCTTGGCGTCCTCGAGATGCGTGCTGTTACCGCTGATCACAGAAACGAATCGTGCAAAGTCAGTGGGAGGGTCACCAATACCCCCGGAGGGTGGGTCCAGGTGCGGGCTATAGTACTCGTAATTACTACATTCTTGAAACAACGGTTTGCGACGCTCATAGACGCTACGGATCTCTTCGGAGTAAGCAGGTCGAGTCTTATCACGCATCAGATATTCGACCATCTGCTCGACGTCACGTTTCACAAGAAGCACAACGCCTCCGTGCCGTTGGTAAGAGATGAGGAGTTCCCGCGCCTCTGGGGTCTCAATAAGACCACCGCCACACGAGAAGACGTGACCCCGGCCTTGATGCTTTAGGACATTCCTCAAGAGTTCAAGTTCGTCTGCTCTGAACCCATCCCACCCACGGCCACTCTCTTCGATAATTTGTGGGATTGTCAAGCCAGCTCGCCGTTCCAGTTCCTGATCTAGATCGATGAAGGTTTGGCCCAGAATACTGGCTACCCAGCTGCCTGTTGTTGTCTTCCCCGCGCCTCGCATACCGATAATGAAAATAGATGGTCCCGAGCTATTCTTTCTGACTTCCTTTGGTCCGGTGACTTCGGTGTCATCTCCTAGCAGACCGACCTTGAATGATTGGGCTAAAACATCCCACCAACCAGGCCATGTCTTCGCGGTACACTCACGCTCTAAGATGAGAACTGTATTTGGCGACAACACGGACAGGACGCTGAAGCTCATTGCCACGCGGTGGTCATCATAGCAGTAAATACCTCCCTCGGGGGCGGACAGGTCTGCAAACTTCCTGCCAGAGATCACAATGCCGTCTTCAAGCTCAGTACAGCTAACGCCGAACTTTGCAAGTTGCTCCCGCATAGCTGTGATACGATTACACTCCTTAACCCTCTGGTTAGCAATGCCCGTGATTCTAGTCTCGCCCGACGCCACCGCGCCAAGAACAGATGCCGTCAGAAAAGCGTCGGTCATTGGCTCCATGTCAACAGTAATGCCTCGCAAGGTGCCTGGGATAGGCCCCGTCACGGTTGTTGAGAAGTCAGTTTGCTCTACAGAACACCCCATAGGCCGCAGGACATCGACGGCAAACCGAGCGTCACCTTGGAGGGACTTAGCACCAATATTGGGAACAGTGCAGGTGGTTCCGGTTATGGCGGCAACAGCAAGAGGATATGTTGCCGAACTAGCATCGCTCTCCACGACGTACTCTTGGGGGTTTTGGTAAGTGCCTTGAGGGATATGGTATGTGTGGGGTTCGTCCGTAGACTTGGTGACTTTTATACCAAACGCATCCATCATCAAGATGGTCATATCGATATACAACTGTGAGATGGGCTTTCCGCCAACCAAGCGGAGCGTCACGGGCTTCTTGGCATATGGCGCACACATAAGCAAAGACGAGACATACTGCGAAGAAATTGTGGCTGCCAATTCGATCACACCCCCACCCAAACCACCGGCGGCATCGACCTCTACTGGTAGGCTGCACTCACGCCCCAGATACTTTATCCCGACACCGTTCGCTCTTAGAGCGTCAACGAGCGGGCCGATCGGCCTCATCTTCATCCTGGCATTGCCGGTCAGTACGGTCGATGTCGACTGGGGAGCGGCGCAAAGAGCAACTACGGTTGTCAGGAAACGAGATGCTGTCCCTGCGTTACCAAGGTAGAGATGTTCACTGCTGGCCTGAAGTTTGCCACCCTTTCCCGTAACCACTAAAACCTCGCCGGCATCCTCCCAGGAGTAGGTGGCACCTTTGAGTTTGGCGATCGCTGACAACATGTATTCGGTGTCGTCGGAATGGAGCAAGTTCTTGATTCGACAGGTGCCCTCGCCCAAAGCTGCCAATACTAAGGCCCGATTGGAGATGCTCTTAGAACCCGGAGGTGTTACCTGAACGTCCAAGCCGGCGGGAACTCCAGGGTTCACACGAATTGCCTGGGAAAGGACGACCCTGATAGCCCCGTCGTCGACTACGCTAGCTCGCGGTTCATGAGTCTGGCCAATGGCGGACAGGAGTACAACCTTCTTCTTCTTGCCGTCGTTCTTCTTGTCGACGGCCATCTTTTCTAGGAGAATATCTACAGGGCACTGCTTTCCGGCCGTCAGTTTGATGACGCGCTTGTCGTGGAGCGAGGTAGGCAACTCAAAGCTGGCAATGCACTTGACCAATCGCGCTACGGCACCCGGCCGCAGGACGCCGAGGAAACGAGCAAGCTCGGCCTCCTTGACCATACCAATAGCCACGGACTCGCCGTGGAGAAGCTGCGGGGTGAGGATGGCCTCAATCGCATGGCCTATGGAGTGACCAAAGTTGAGTAGGTTTCGTAGGCCGCTCTCCTTCTCGTCGGCGGAGACGACATGAGCCTTAACACGGGCAGAACCAAGGACGATCCGTTTGAGAATGTCCCGGATCGGGAGGAGCCTGTCATGACAGCCGCCTTGAGGCTTGGATCTAATAGTCGCGAGGATCAAAGTGGCATTCTGTTCGAGGGCGGCAAACTCGGACTCGTCCCAGATAGCGGCCGTCTTTATGACCTCGGCCATGCCGTTGATGAATTCGCGGACAGGCAGTGTCTCGAGGAAGGCAAGATCTATGTAGATGCGCCTCGGCTGCCAGAAGGCGCCGATTAGATTCTTCCCTACGGGGGTGTCGATTGCCGTCTTTCCACCAATAGAGGAATCGACCATAGACAGAAGTGTGGTTGGGACCTGGACGATGCGGACACCGCGCATGAAGGTGGCAGCGACGTAGCCAATCATGTCGCCAATGACACCGCCGCCCAGGGCGATCATGACGGTGTCCCGCGTGCATTGATGCTCGAGCATCCAGTCCTCTATCTCAGCCTTGGTCTCGCGGCCCTTGGAGGTCTCCCCCGGAGGGATGGTGTAGGTCAGAAGACGGGTCTGCAGGCCCCGGCGATCGGCGGCTTCGTTGAAGATGGCCTCGAAGGCGGGGACATAGCGGTCGTATAGGTTCGTATCGGTGATCAAAACATAAGTGGATGACTTGACATTATCGAGCAGGTCGTTGGGTACAAAGCTGCGCCAGATACCGTGGTCTATGATGATAGAATCGGTACCGAGGATGGCAATGCGCGTGAGACTGGACCGGCTATCTGCTTGCTGTTGCTCGGCCATATCGTGTCTGACGTCGCAGGGAGGTGGGAGAGGTAAGAGAGTAAGATGGTGAACGGGATACGGAGACGGGGACGGAGCCAGGCGAGGAAGGCTAGGGTAGTTTAATTAAATGTCTTGCTACCACTTAGTTGTGCATTACGCTAGACTAAGAGGCGAATCATGTATATGAATCCATCAATTGGTGAGAGCTGAGCTCTAACAGTGTCCTCGCAAGGTAAGGGTAGAAGAGAATGTATGGCAGTGCCTGACTTTAAAGCATGACTCGACTCGGCTTGACTTTTTCTCGCACCTTTTTTTTGGGCGGTTTCGGAGCGAGGGGCAATACACACAAAGAAAAAGGTACTTACTTACTTATTTGCCCTGTATAATAAAGAACCCCGCTATAAAACTTTTTTTATAAATAAGAAAAGTATTATTATAATAAATATTTTTAAAAAAAATATAATTTTAAGTAACTTAATTAATAAGCCTTGTATAACAAGTGATAAAAAATATACCAGCTGCGGGATTCGAACCCGCGCATCAAGATGATAATAGAACTTAAGTCTATCGCCTAGAAAAATTAGTACGAAATGAAGCAAAGTTCTTAACCAAAACGTACCTTAACCACTCGGCCAAGCTGGCATGATAATATTCATTAAATCCAGGGTTGTGATTTAGCTACTAATTATTCACACTAGTTATAACTAAGCTAACTATTAATTAATTAAGGTTTTAATTAAGATTAGTTTTTTACTTAATATTAACTAGTTTTAATTAATTAATAATTAATATTATTTAAATCATTATATTTATATTTATATAAGTTTTTTAAAATAAATAGTTTTATTTTATAAAAATTTTTAAAAATTTTTTTATAATATTTATAAAAAACTTTTTTAAAACTTTTTAATTTTATTTATAATATAACTAAATTATAAAAATATCTCGCGGGTTATTATAAATGTTTTAATTTTTTAAAATATTTAATTTATATAAATAATATAATAACAACTTTTTAATTAAAAATAATTTAATTTAATTAATATACCACTTAAACAAGTGTGTTATATAAGTAAAGTAACTTAGTTTTTATAATTATTACACTTTTAACTATTAAAAATCATTTATATAATATTAAAATTAATTAATAATTACTATTATTTAAATCATTTTATTTAATTTTAACGTACTACACAAGCGAGTAAACGAAACAAGCTCGCGAACGAAATAGTTTCCTATATAAAATTGACTTTTTCGAAAATTCATAACTTTACACGTAAAAATCGGAAAAATCTCGAACCTTTTTTTCTAGTTATATAATTATATATTTTAATTAAAATAAAATTCAAAAAATAAAAAGTGAAATGTATAAAGAAATACGTAAAAAGGTCTATGCGTTTTGTTATAATTTTAGTTTTTATACGTTTTCTTTTCGTGTTTTTTAAAAAAAAAATTTTTTTAATTTTATTTTAGTTAAACTGTATAATTATATAACTAGAAAAAAAGGTCCGAGATTTTTTTCGATTTTTACGCGTAAAGTTATGAATTTTCGAAAAAGTCAATTTTATATAAGAAACTATTTCGTTCGCGAGCCTGTTTCGTTTACTCGTTTATATAGTATGTTATATTTTTATATTATTATAAATTGTACACTTAAATGCTTTTAAATTAAGTATTACTTTAAAAAATAAAAAAAACCTTTATTATAAATCTTTATTAACCCCCCTCCTTCCCGGGCTTTAAACTCGAAACAAAAAAAAAGCGTTTTACGACTTCTTTTACGACGCTTTTTACTTAATAACCCTTTATTAACCACTTTACCCTCATTTACTTGCTACTTATAATAAAGCTAAAAAAACGAGTTTTATTTAACTCCCAAAAAAAAGAAACTTAAAACCTTACTAAAAACTACGAGTTAGCTCTTTATATATTTAAATCAAAAACAAGATAAAAACAAAAAACAAAACAAAATTTAAAATACTTACGAATTTGTCGTTTTATCTCGATATTACTCTCGAGAAATATAATAAAAACCCTTAAAAAAATAAGCGAATATAATAATAACTAGGGTTATAATTAAGTTACTTATTAATAACTTAAATTAATAACTTACTAAAACTAGTTTTTTAAACATTTAATTAAAACTAGTATAAATTAATTATTAACTTAACTTAAACTAATTTATATAAGTTAAGTTAATAACTTAAAAAAAACTAATAACTTATTAAGCTTTTTAAAAGTTTAATTAAAATAATTTAAGTCTTTTTTAAAAAGTTATTTTAATTATTATATAAACTTTATAATTTTAAGTTATTTAATTATTTGAATTAAGGTTTATAAAAAAGTTACATTTAACATTTTCAATAAAAATAAATTTATTTTTAAATAAAGGTTTATATAACTTACTTTTTAAATTTATAACGTAATATAAGTTTATTAATTAAAAATAAAATTATAAGTAAATTATAAATAAATTAATTATATTGTAAATAATTTTTAAAATTAAAATTTTTTTTAAAAGGCTTAACAAATTATTAGTTTTTTTAAGTTACTAACTAACTAACTTATAAAAAACTTAAGTTAGTTAGTAACTTAACTTAAACTAGTGCTAATTAGTTAACTTAGTGACTTAAACTAGTATAAATTAATTAATAACTTAATTTTAACTAAAAACTATTAGTTTTTTTCATAACCCTGCTTATATATAATATAACTTAAACCATTTATCACTTTAAGCGTATATATAATTATAATTAATATTATTATTATTTATAATATATATATAAATAAAAGTACTTTATATAACACCTTTTTTAAACTTAAATAATAAACTCCCGGCTTTAAAAAAGTATTTAAAAGCGATTTTAACGTAACATGTCTTATAAACAAATAAGCCACATAAACTAGTAAGCCAGTTTTTATAACTTTCGTAGTTTTAACTATCAAAAAAATTTACGTAATATTGAAATTAATTAATAATTACTATTATTCGAATTGTCTCTTTTAATTTTACGCTTTAAAAACCAAATACCTTTTTTATATTAAATATATAGTTTTTTAATGCGTGATTTAAGTTAATTAATTAATTTTTTTTTCTCGTTTTTATTATATTATCGAGATAATAAATATTTTATTACGCGATCACGACGCGAGGCGCGTCGAATAAAACTAAGCTTTTAATTTTATATAACAATAAAAAACCTTTTAAACGAGTTTAAATAAACGAATCGATTATTAAAAAGCTTTTTATAAAACTTAAATATATATTAAAAATGATATAAATTAATACGTAATATAATTACGAATTATAATATTTAAAAAGAAAATATATATAATTTTAACGAAATAATATTTATAATTAAAATAATTATTAAAATTAATATAATAATAATAAATATAAAACGACGTAAATAATTATAATAAGTTATAATTATTTAAGTTATAAGTATTATTAATTACTTTTTATTATTATATATTATTTTAATTAAGAAAAAACATTTCGTTTTATAATATCGCGATAACTTATTATTACTAAAAAGTAAAATTATAATGTTAAATAATAACTAAATTATAAATAAGCTTAATATAGATTTTATAAAGCATTTTTATAAATATACGAAAAAGAAAACGAAAAGAATTACACGCTTTTTAATTTTATTAACTTCGAAAATTATTATTAAAAAAAATCGTTATATTTTATATATTTAATTATTTATTATATAAGTTTTAACTTCTCGACTTTATATATTTTAATATTTTAAAACAAATATATAATAATTATTTTAAATATATAAATTAATTTTTATATAGTTAAATTAATTTTTTTAATTTAAAAAAGGTTATTATTATATTATTTATATTTATACGAATAACGCGTATATTCTCTCTCGATTTTAATATAAATTACTTTAATATTAATATATAAAGTGTTTTTATTACGAGATAAAATCACTTATTTTTAAGAAATAAATCATATTTTTAATAAGCGATATAAAACTAAAAATAAGTAGTTATAAATAAAAGAATTATTTAATATAAAAAAAGGGGTAACTTTATAAGTTAAAAAGATAGTATTATAATTAATAATAAAAAAGGGGGGCCTTAAAAAAGGGTAATAATTAAACAGAGACGATATAGTATATATAATTAATTTAGTTATAATACGCGTATTTATATAGCGAATAAAAATATAATTAATAATATTTATATAATAAATAAAGAGGTATTTAATAATTTAAATTTCGAGGAGTTATAAATAATTCTATTTGTTATTTATTTTTTGTTTTGATTTTAAAGGCTTTTAACTCGAAAAATATAATAAATTAAGTAATATAAATTACGCTTTAAAAAACCGAATATTTAATATAAAAAAGGTATTTAGTTTTTAAAGTATAAAGCTAAATAAAATGATTTAAATAATTATTATTATTAATTAATTTCGATGCGGCGCAAATGATTTTTAATGGTTAGAAGTGTAATAACTATAAAATTTCGTTTGCGAGCTTGTTTCGTTTACTCGCTTATATGATACGTTAATAATAACCTTTTTTAAATTAAAAAAAAAACTAATTTAACTACACGAAACCTAATTTATATATTCGAAATAATTATTATAATAATAACATTTTATTAAATCTTTTAAATAATTATTATATACTTTTTTAAAAATATTAAAACATATAAAGTCGAGAAATTATAATTTATATAATAAATAACTAAATATATAAAATGTAATAATATTAAGTTTTTTATAAATTTTATATTAAGTTTATTTATTATTTAATTATTATTTAATATTTTAATTTTACTTTTTAATAAAAATAAAGTATTATATTATTATAAAGCTAAATACTTTTTTTAATTAATATAATAAATAATAATATAATAAAACTATTAATATTAATAACTTAAATAATTATAACTTATTCTCGATTTTTATTTATTAAACTTATTAAGGTCGTTTATATCATTTTATATTTATTATTATTATTATATTAATTTAAATAATTATTCGGAGTTTAAACCTTATCTCGTTAAAATTTTATATTTCGTAATTATTTTATATATTAATTTAAACTATTTTCGATATATATTTAAATTTTTATATAAAGCTTTTTAGTAATCGATTTATTTATTTAAACGTATTTATAATAATTTTTGTCGCCGCATAAAATTAAAGGTTTAGTTTTTTTCGACGCGCCTCGTGTTGTGTTTACGTAATAAAAAGTTTATTATCGCGATAACGTAACTTAAACGAAAAAAAAAATAACTAATTATTTAAATTAATAATACGTTAAATAATAATTATTTTTTTGTAAAACGTAAATTTTTAAGTATTTAGTTTTATAATTAATTATATAATTATATTATTATTTCGCTTTTATAATATTATATAAAAAATATTATAAAGTGTTATTAATTTATAATAACTTATTCTTAAATAATATCGTTTATATTTAACTATATAAGTTATTCGAGTTTTTATTAATATTATTAAATTTTAAAATAAGTAAATTAATATATTTTAATTTTCTTTTATTTTTTAAAAAAACATATAAATATAATTTTACACATTTTAATAATAATAATAAGTATATTATTTATAAATTAATCGACTTAAATCACGCGTTAAAAAACCAAAT